AAGGCGCGCTGCGCGAACACCACCCCGCTCTGCGCGCTCACTGACACGTAGGACAACAACTCCCGCGGCTCCAGGTCACTGGCCACAATAGAGTAGGAGACGCTGCCGTTGGGTCCCAAATCCGGGTCGGAGGCGCTGACTTGTGCAATAGAGGCGCCAGGTGGGTTGTTCTCAGCCACATGAACCACGTAGGAGGCCTGATGGAAAACAGGTGCATTGTCGTTGATGTCAGAGATGTGCAGGGTTATGCTTGTCCTGGAGGAAAGGGATGGCTTGCCCTTGTCGGTGGCTATGATTGTGACGTTGTAGTCAGCTGACTGCTCCCGGTTTAGGGCCCCACAAATCACCAGCTTGTAATAATTCTTTGAGGTGGATTCTAATTTGAAGGGAACTTCTTCCTGAATATAGCATGTCACCATGCCATTTTGCCCAGAATCCTTGTCTCGCACTTTTATGAGGGCTATTACAGTTCCAAGGTCTGAATCCTCTGGAATCTGGTTAGAGAAGGACATCAAAGTCACCTCTGGGGCATTATCATTCTCATCAACAATTTCAATTTGAACATTACAGTGAGCTGTGTGTACTCCTCCATCCTTGGCTTCTACACCCAACACATATCTACTTGTCTCTTCAAAGTCCAATGTGCCATTGGTTGTAATGTCGCCGGTATTTGGATTAAGATTGAAGAAGAGGCTGGTACTTATTGGGGAATTGAGGAAGGCATAGGTGATCTCTGCGTTAATGCCCTCGTCCTGGTCTGTGGCCGACACTCGCAGCACAGAAGTTCCCCAGGGTACATTTTCTTGGAGGCTAACCCTGTATACATCCTGGCTAAACACAGGAGCATTATCATTGGCATCAGTGACTCGGATATTGATCTGGGTGGTGCCGCTTAGAGGCGGGTCGCCGCCGTCCATGGCAGTCAGGATTAAGCGATGGGAGCTCTGATGTTCCCTGTCTAGAGGCTTTTCCAGCAGTAATTCCGGATATTTACTTCCATCAGGACTTTCCTTCGTTGACAGAGAGAAGTGTTGATTGGGGTTGATGGTGTATATCTTCAGTGAATTACCTTCCACATCTGCATCTTGCGCAGAATCCAGAGGGAATTTTACCCCGGGTAAGGCTGACTCACAAATTTCTAAGTCAATGCCTTTTGTAACGAAACGTGGTGCATTATCATTAATATCTTGGATTATAACAACCACGTGGAAAACATTCATTGGGTTTTCAGCAACAGTTTCGAATTCTAGTGCACACTCAAGTTTCCTTCCGCAAATCTTCTCTCGATCTATCCTACCGTTCACTAACAAATCCGCGCTCTCCAAACTAACGTTGAAATAATCCTCTGCACTAACCCGCAGTTTTCGAGCTGGCAACTCCTCGATACTGAGCCCCAGATCCTTGGCAAGGTTCCCCACCCGTGAGCCCTTGGCTAGCTCCTCTGGAATCGTGTATCGGATCTGCTGGGAGATGGCACCGCAGAACAAAGACAGCAGGAAGGGAAACAGTACCTGACTTTTCATCCTTTCGGCTTCTCTGGCTCTCCTTTGCATTTCAGGAACTCTCCGCGGAGCTTCTTTTTTCTGGGATTGTTTTTAAAAGCAATGACAGCACCCTGGACTTTGGCGATTTGAGTGTAGCACTTATTTGTTAGGCGGTTGAGGGTGCACAGGAGCAGCGTCTGTGCTCTGCGGTGCACCGGACAAAGCAGGAAGGCACCCTGCCTGACGCTCAGGCAGAATTGAGAAGCCTTCACTTCCTTTTGGTCGACAGCGGCGCCCAGAGGTTGTCTTGGAAAACTGCACAGTGCCCAGCTATTTATCCTCAAAGCGCAATCTCTTGAATCTATGTACAGTACCCTGTCTTTAATTTGCTGGAAGAAAGCAAATACCCACATTTTCCCCTTTAAATTTCACATTTTCTAGTTTGTCATCATCTCATAAGGGTCTTCATCATTTTGTATTCTTTTTTCATTTAAAAAATTCACAAGGTACACGGCCATTTTTTTAAGTTTTGGGGGCCGAAAAAATCTTCAGTGATTTCACTGTATTTATAAACTCTGGCATGACTGGGGTGTCCAAATAAGTGAATGGATAATTTTTATTCATATTTTTAGTGAACTAAAATACTTACCTTTCTTAAATTCATCAGAATAAGTTCCCTTATCTAGTATTTTAAATCTCTCCACATATACATTATCAATTCAGTAATTCTTTTCAAAGATAGCTTTTGCAAAAAATAGTCACAGCCCTACAATTATGTTAATATATTTCTCTTCTTTTTAAAATACAGGTAACTTTTCCAGTTAAGTAGGGCAAAGTCTGATATTTTGTTAAAAGGACCAATTTAGTATTAGGGTACACATACATGCTTTTATAATGTGGACTCTCATATAAGGTGTATTTATTTTTTATGAAAATGGTGCTTCTTTTTATATGAATGTATATGAAATCCTCTAGGCTGGGTGCGGTGGTCCGTAATCCCAGCACTTTGGGAGGCCAAGGCGGGCAGAACACAAGAGGTCAGGAATTTGAGACCAGCCTGGCCAACATAGTGAACCCCATCTGTACTAAAAATACAAAAATTAGCTGGATGTGGTGGCAGGTGCCTGTAACCCCAGCTACTCGGGAGGTTGAGGCGGGAGAATTGCTTGAACTCAGGAGGCAGAGGTTGCTGTGAGCTGAGATCATCCCACTGAACTCCAGACTGGGTGACAGAGCAAGACTCTGTCTCAGAAACATTCTCTATAATGCCAGTTCTCAGCTCCAGCTGACTTATACCATTAATGAGTACGAGTCTGACTTGACCACTGGTAAATATTGTAGAGGTATTTAGAGTTCTTAGACACCCAATTTTGGAACTTATTCTGTAGTTCCAGGCTTAGAACCAGTCTTGGTTCAAAGCAAATTCCTTTATTTCAAATGCATTACAAAATGAGATTCAACTCAACAATTTATTCTACTATTTTGCAGTGCTCACCCATACTCATACTCCAGCCGAAACAGCCTATTATCTGTTTTCTTAAGATACTTTTTCTCTTGTTTCCCATGTATCATGCCTTTATTCTTTCTGTTTCTTTTATTATGAACTTCTCCTTTCTTTTGTAATGAATTCTTGCCCATTCTTAAAAAAAAAATCCTTCTTAGTGAAAATGGGATGTCTTAGACCTTTCATTACCTGTACCAGTAGGTGGAATTGTATTGGTTCTGTATTCTCAGTGTATTTTCATGACACATACATGGCTATGTTTCATATAGAATTCTTAGAAAATTGTCTTTGAGCATCCATATTTCCTCTGGCACTAGCCAATTAATTTTTTTCTCCTTATAGGGGAAGTGATACTGATAGTATAAACTTTTTTTTCCTAAAAATTATATGTCAAAAGTTATGTGCCTTTTTCATTTGAGACAGGGTCTTACTATGTTGCCCAAGTAGGTCTCAAGTCCTAGGCTCAGAAGTCCACCCCTGGCTAAGGGCCTTTTAAATTCTGTGATGCATTTGCATGTTTGAATGAGAATACACTTTACTCTGCTTACAGCTTTTGTGTTCTGGACCTGTTGTCTCATACATTTAACTGTGCTTATTCCTAATATATTGAGGGAGGAAACTATTCTTTTTTTGAGTTCTAATAAAATCTACTTTGGTCTAATTTGGGATGACTCTCTTATGTGACTTAATGAATGAAAATAATTTCATAAGTTGCAGAATAGGCCAACAATTTCTGTCTCAAGAAAGTTGTAGAACATGACAAAAGAAGGGACTTCTATCCCATTGTTGGAAGAGATGGTCTGGAAATCTCCCGCAGAGGCTAAGACATATTCCCCTACATTCTTTTAATATCCTTCTCAAGGGCGAGAAATACCACTTCAAGGCTCATGATAGTTCAGGTAGGTGAACTTTCCGCCCTCATGCAAAATGTTGAAATCAATATGAACACACACATAAATACATACTTTAGGCATACATAACAGGCACTATAGGTAAAACCATTTGACCAGCCTCTACATTTTTATTCTACAATTTTTATGTTATTGAGATGGAAAGAATGACAGGCTAGACATGGTGGTTCATGGCTGTAACCTCAGTACTTTGGGAGGCTGATGTGGGCAGATCACTTGAGCTCAGGAATTTCAGACCAGCCTTGGAAACACAGCAAAACTCCATAAACAAGCAAACAAACAAACAAAAAACAGAAAAAAAATTCACAAACAAAAGAATTAGCTGGGTGAGTGGCTTGTGCCTGTAGTCCCAGCTACTCAGGAGGCTGAGGTGGGAGGATCACTTGAGTCTAGGAGGTTAAGACTGCAGTGAGCTGTGATCATGGCACTGCACTCCAAACAGTAAGATCCCGTCAAGAAAGAAAGAAGGAAGGAAGGAAGGAAAGAAGGAAGGAAGGAAGGGAGGGAGGAAGGGAGGGGGGAGGAGGAGGAAGGAAGGAAGGAAGAAAGGAAGGAAGGAAAGAAGGAAGGAAGG